AACAGAAAAGCTCATATCCTTTAGGCAACCTTGCTAAGGAAAATTAACCGATCCTTCCTCTATGCGCCTGTCTAGTATATATCTGTTCCTGCAGCTGACACACACTTCAGCAGGGACAGAAGTATACAGTCTGGTCATTTTCAGGGAGGCCCTTTGCAGTCCACTTGGAAGTAGGGTGATCCCTGCATATTTAAGGATCTGTTTACTAAATGATTCTGACTTGAGACTATGTGTTGTATCCTAATGCTTCTCCTCTCCGAGAAAGCCCCGAAGAGCTAGATTTTTGGTTGCAGGCTTGGATTATTTCTCTAGCTGTCTTTAGGTGCCAAATTTGTAGCTAAAGTTTGACTGGATTGTCAGCTTTGAGTGCTCAGTCCTCGTAGAAACTCAGAACCTTCACAATGAGTCAACCTCCCAGTTGCCACCTTTCTCTCCCATCCCAGCAGAGCACTGGAGTTTTTTTGTTTGGAGTTTTTATTTTAACTAAGACATAAGTAACTTATAAAAGCTTCATGGGTGATTGCACACGATGTTCTTGGCTATAACAAATCACGAACGAAAGAAGTAACACATACCTTTTCCCACAACTTCCATTATTTCTCCAGCAGCAGCCTGAGATGTGCTAAGGGAGGCTGCTGAATGTCAGGCAGACTCAGCTTCTCACTGCCGCGCTGTTCATCACTCCTGCTCGGGCCCGAGGCCTCACTGTTTCAGGATTTAGGGACTTCAGCACATTGCCAGGGCCCCATTGCAGCCTGCAGGGCTCTTGCTGTCCTGGGGTAGCCACCCAAGAAGCCTGTTCTTGGCAGCCCACAGTCAGACCAATGACAGGGGAGTCCACTCTGGAGGTGAGAACTAGAGCAGGGTCTGACCTGTTTCTGGATTAGGAAACAAGTAGAGAAGCTCTGTGATAAGGAACTCAAGCATCTGCCTATGCAGAGTCTGAGGCTGTCCTGCTCTCACCTCATGTTATCTTCCAGAAGCTGAGACTTCCTCTGCTTCTGACACTCCAGCATACACAGTCAGTCCCTATAGAGTGAACTCTTTCAGCATATTTTAAGGGCCTGTCTTTTGGATGATGTCCCAGTTCAGTCTGCCCAGCTGTCCCCTTCTGAGAAGGCTATAAGCTGGGATCTTTCTTTTATGCAGTCCTGGACAGAGGATAGCTGATCTTCTGGGGTGCATTCATCTCTAGGAAAGATTAGACAAGGTCTGCTATTAGGGCACTCAGCAGAATTACCTTCAAATTCAGCATCGGATGCCCAGCTTGGCCTTAAATTACAGAAGCAACTGTTTGCTTCCATAGGAGGATTTTGTTAGGACGTCCTTAGATGAGACAGCTGGACAAAGAATAAAATGGTTTTCTAGACATTGTAATCGGTCACTTATGCGCTCAATAGTTAGCATTTGTAAACACTTACTTTATACCACACATGGTGCTGGGAATGCTATATACATTTTATATACATACTCTCCATTAATCCCCCATGACAGCCAAATGAATTGAGTAGTTTTATTATCCCTATTTTGCAGGTATGGGTAGTGAGATTCAGAGAATATAAATGACATTGTCAAGAGTTATCACTGAATAAGTGGCACAGCCAGGAACTAGTCAATAGAGTACAATTAAAAAAAAAAAATCGCTCACAAATCAAAACCAAATGAGAAATCACATCATACCTATAAGGATGCCTCTTATCAGAAAGATAAGAAATAAGCATGTGTTGCAAAGAATGTGGAGCAAAGGCAACCCTTGTGCACTGGTGATGGAAAAGCAAATTGCTGCAACCAGATGGAAACAGTAGGAAGATTCTTCAAACTATTAAGAATAGAAATACCATATGACCCAGACATTCCACTTCTGGGTATTTATATATGGTTCATTCAAATTTATATGGCTATTGAGCGTATATTTGAATTCTGGCATTTGTAACTAGAACAGGTACTTTGAACCAACTTACTATTATGCTTTTGAAGAGTTGAGGAAAGTGAGATGAAGAGTTGAGGAAAGTGAGATAAGTTAACTTAAAATATTTGAAGGACTCTCAAGTAAAAGAGGGATCAAACTTTTGCTTTGCAATTCTACATAGTAATGCTAGTCCAAGGAAAATACTGGACGAGAGATTTGGGCTCAGTGTTAGGAAGACGATTCTGTTAGAAACTATCAAAAGGACTGCATTGCAGAGTTTATTTTTGCCAAGTAAAGCCTGGGTGGCCAGCTCTTAGGGCTTTAATACTATGAGATTGTCCTATGGGACCTCAAGGACTCCTTCAAGATGCTACAATTCCATCAGACATGTCTTTGGCTAAATGTATTAATGAGGACTCATAACTTCAAGTAGCAGGAATCCAATTAAGTAAAACTAGAATGTATCAGATCTCTTGGAAGAATAAGAATACAGCTGAGTCTCAGTCATAATGGAAGCAAGAGTATGAACGCCACAGGACTCTCTCATTTCCTACCTCTGCTCGGCTTATTTGCTTTCTTCTGTCTTAATTCAGCTTTCATCATATATCAGAAAACAATCGTCAGCCCCTTTCCTTTTTAATCTGTTTAAAAGTTTCTGTCACTGGAGATGGACAGCCTCTTTGGCATCAAGGCAAAACCAAACCAAAAATAATACATTTCCACAAGAGACAGTACAGACTGACCCAGTTCGAGAGTCTGCACCCCGATACAACCAGTTGGAGCCAGAATGGGATTAGTTAGACAATTGCAGGTCTCATGAGGGTTAATATGGATAGAACAAAAAGGAAGCATGCTAAACAAAATGGTCCTCTTTCCCAAACATAGTGACAGTAAGTGGTATGCAAATAGTGTTAAGAACACTATAGGAATCTAATCACACGCAAGCTATAAACATAAATTTCAGGCTTCAGGAATTTTTCATTTGATGACAGTAATCTTTCTGAGAATAGTTGAAAGTGATATTCACCCATGAAGGTTAGCTATTGGCTCCTACGAGTGCTGAGGCAGACGCAATCCTGACCTAGGTGTTGTGCGAGTATAGGATTATGTTCAAAGACAACTGAAATTAACGACTCGGTTCTGAGTCCACCTGAGAACTATTTCAAATACAAACTTACAGCGGATGAGCCCTTATCAGTATTTCACTTACAGACTGATCTCATACCAAATTTAAATGGAAACTAGCTTTTCAACATAACTCAATAGTTCAAGAGATAACCAGTGTTGCAGAAATCAGTATTTGGTTGTTTATTGATTCACTCACAAGTGCTTTCTATGTACTTGTGGTTATTAGATACTAGATTATAAGAATGGCACAGTCATGGTCCACCCTGCTCAATTCCTGATCTGCTGTTCTCTCTGCCCAGAGTATTTTTTACCTCACTCCCACCTCCCATTGCTGTCATTTCCTATTGAATACTTTTTTTTTTTTTCCTTTTAAGACACCAACCTCTCTTGACAGAATTAAAATGTTTTGCTGATGCTTCCTTAGTATCCAGGGTCTTCTCTTTTGGAGTTTTCACACGTCTAATTTTTATCCACTGTGTGTCTTCCTTAGAACGAAAGATCCACGAGGACAGGACCATGTTGTTTTGTTCAGTACAATGCCTAGAATAGTCTCTCAAAAATAGCAAGGGCTACATAAATATTCATTAATTTGGCAGATATTTATTGAGCATCTGTATGTCATGCATCTCTCTTGGTACTGAGAATATAGAAGAGAAAAATATAGACATGTCTCTTCCCTGAAGGAGCTTACACATTAGTCAAAGTGTTGATTTAATGAGAGAAGATCTAATTCAAATTCCTTATTTCCTGGGTCAGGTAGTGAATGCCAGAGAAATTCAATATTTGGACCCCATGGAAGAGTTGCAGGGATTGATTTAGATTTCCTCTTGCATATCGCTTTTCAATTCACTGTTCACAAACCAAAGGTGGGTGTGTGGACTTGTTTACTCGGTCTACAGATGCCAGCAGGATGCTGAGGGCATCAGGAGCTGAAGGACTGGAGACAGACATGTTGAACACAAGATTTTTATGTGCACAGAACGTTAAAGTTTAGTCAGTCCAGGCAGTTTTGATGATTTCTCCACCCATTCTCTCACAGTCCTTACAAGAGGGATGGCCATGTTCTTTATTGTTGCTTGTGGAGCTTTGGCCACTGGAGTCTCTGGAAAAGTGATGGTGTTGGTGTCGACGGCAGTCATATTAGGGTTTAGTCAGGAACTGCTAAGGAAGTGTTCAGTCCTGAGCTGGGAGTTGCAGGAAGGGACTAACATCATTTTTAGAAGGTCTTTTCAGGAGAGGGCTATAAGAAAGGCAAGGAGACTTTAATAACCTGAGTATATGAACAGCAAAGAAATACCTCACTTGACTAGACAGTGTATATTGAATAATGAAGAATAACAGGGATATATATGGGGAACTGGGCTGGAACTTGGAAATGGAAGAAATGGAAAGAGAACTAGGTATGCATTTTGGTTGGATTTTTAATTAATCCAAGCTAGTTCTTAACTTTAGAACAAGGGGAGCTTCCATTGGTACTCTGCTAGGGTTCTTTCTCCCAGCTTGAGGAAGTGCCTTACGAGGATAGGGCGATACCCTCTCATCCATTCACTCACATTATATAAGTCAATCCCGAGACAAATTGTGGTATGACAGGTCTCCCAATCAAAAAGGCACCCTCCCAGCACACAAAGCAAAACTAATACCCACAGAAACACAGAGGAAAGCCCACTGCCACCTTCGCCACCTTTAGGTGGGGAATGGCAGAGCCTGTCCCTGATTCTCTAGGACTCTGCTATTGATGAAGGCCACACTGACTCAGAAATCTCATGTCTCAGTCAAAAATCTGTGAGCTGCTCAATCATTTCATCAGAAAGCACCTCAATCCATAAAAGCCACCTTTTCTTACAGTAGCAACTTTTAATGATGAGCCGAAATCCTTCGGTACTTTAAAGACAGTTTAAAGAATATTGAAGGTTATTTGCTAAGACCAGCAGTCTGCTCCTGTTACTGAGAGGTAGGAAAAAATGAATTTGCTGTCTTTATGTGATGTGTGAGTTCAGGTAATGAGCTTAGGGACACGTGGGGCAAAGAGAAGTCAGAGAAAGTCAGGCATACCACGTCTGTAAAGAAAATGTTTTATTTAAAGTGTTAAATACCATCACCAGAATGAATTTGATTTACATTGTTGGTGTTCATTACAGGACTAATCTGCCCCTCTTTTTTTTCCCAACTGGAATTCCCTTTACTTTTAAAACATACTATATACAGGGCAGCAGTGGTCACTGGAATAGTGCTATTTACATGACTAAACCACAAGTTGAGGTGCAGACGTGTGAAAATAAAAAAAAAATACACCAATTTTAAATAAATACTGCATAATGACAAGTATGTACAAATATTCCATACAGTCATGTCCTTCTTATTAAAATTAGAAATAATTTATATAGGAATATGCACAAAAGATTATGTGACTGCATCTTAATATCAGGAAAATGGTAAACGTTTATTCTAAGGGAGAGTAAAGACAGGATAGGTCTATTAAGTCAATTTGTTGCTGGTACACAAGTGTCTAAATTATTTTAATAAAGTTGTATTCGATCTTTTAATGACTTTACCTGGGTCCATCGTAGATCACAGAACGTCAAGACACAGTCTCGGTATATTTCATATTGCACCACATAAAGAGAAGGCATTTTTAGTGATACTCATTTTAACTTTTGCACCATATCAAGCATGATAGTTTTTGATGATCAGCACTGAATTTCAAGTGGAAAAAAAAAAAAAAAGCAAAATGGAAAGCAATTTTTGTGCATGGCCTTGACTTAAACAAATGGTATGTAGAAATAAATTGTAAAAATAAACTCAACCTCCAAGAATGTGGTATCAGCATGTACATAAAGAATCAGAGAGTGTGGGAGGTTTGTTACATTAACCAGTGACTTTGCTTCTAAATGGGGGAACTTAAAAGAAATTTGACCTGCAGCACCACCCAATGGTAATAAGTGTCTGTAAAGCCAAAGGCAGGGGCTTGACATTGGGGGATGCGTGCGGACTTTTGGTGATGGCATCAAAGAACTATTAATAGGCAGACTGACTTGGAGTCATCTAAAAATTGGAGCTTCAAATTATCTGTTGCAAATTTATGTTTGCTGTATTTCTTTAGAAATATAATTTGTGAAAAATTGAATTTTACTACAGAAAAATGAATTAATAAACAGCCCTGTGTTTCAGAGCTTCAAAATTTTACCATTGTTTTCTAGTCACATAGTAAATGGAAACTGGCTAAAGAAACTGCTTTAATTGATTAAAAAACAGAACCTAAAACCTTCTAGAAATAATACTTTGACCTCTGTATGAATAATGCTGGTGCTAAAAACAAATTTATTGGACATTACAATGGCCACATGATTTTAGGATTTTCCTGTAAAACTGAAATTTGAAGGTGAAACTAAAATTACCATGCACTGTACAATAAATTGCAAAAGTTCAAATATCTTCTTTATCAAACACATGCTGACTGACTTTAATGTACTCCCAAGTCATGTTGCAAAATCCTTTTCAACATGCTTGAAATAAAGAAAGCTCTTAGATTTTTTTTCCCTTGAGAAATTCATAAATTCAGAAGCTTCCACAGCTCTGAATCAAATATAGGGTATAAATTTGTTATTTTTTAGTATAATGTTCACTCTGGTAGGGAGAAAGAAAATAAAAGATTAAAAGAGGGAGAACACAAAAAGTGAGATATCGAAGAAGAAAGACGTGAACAATTTGCACATACTGAACTTCATCAGTTTTGTATATTTAACATGGAAATAAATGGAATATATTATACTTATTTGTCACATAAAGAGAATTTTAAGTATCTTCTAGAAAGTATTTTCCTCTGTAATGTCTGCCAAAACACAGACTATGGTTAGTTTAAAGAATAAACATGGTGTGTCTTTGTATCACCCTGTTGCATTCTCTCCCCTTTTTAAAACCATGCACTAGTGAAATTTAATTTTTAAAAATAATATAAATTGTTGAAAATGGCTGATTTTTATTCTTTTTTTTTTTGCAAGTTGCAGCCCCAAGAAAATAATTTAAGTATTCAGCTAATCTGTGTCCATGCAAAAAAGGTTTCTTTAATTTCATTCAGTACAGTATAGCCACAGAATTGTGTCTTTCAGAGTCCAACACTTCCTGGCACTAGTGAGCGACATGCCTGCTGGAGCTCCGAAGCTGGCACTGGTCACTCGGGCTGGTTACTCCCGGTCATCATCCAGAGGAGGGCTGACGTTTTGTCCCAGACCACTTCTTTGGTCTCTTGCTTTTGACCTGATGCTTCCCAGAACTTCACTCCTTGACTTGTAACATGGCTTAATGGCGGTATAGCTCCATTTCTGTGGCATAACAGGGCTTTGGGATCAGAGAAATGAAGAAAAAAGGAACGATAAAAATATAAAGGTGCCATTGAAAAGGGCTTTTGTTGCATGAAACTGACTGATTCTTTGAGATTAATCCATGGCTTCAGATTAGACCAAAACTTGAGTGTTACTGAACTCCACACCTGATAGTTCTTCATAGCTCTTCTCTTTCACCTGAGGGCCTTCTGTAGGGCACAATGTGTGCAACTTCCTCTGAGAACACAGGATCGCTTTATATCCCTAGAAACAGGCCCAGAAGACACAACATTAAGCATGCAGTGTTACCAGGGTTTGCGACCTGTGGTTTTTTTTTTTTTTTTTTTTTGTAACGCTGGTTGCTATGACAACAGTTTTACAGCTGCTATGAACGAGAGTAAGAAGGTCCGGTGGAACTTTCCAGAGATGATTGGGAAGCTCTTCTTGTAAGAGGGGCCAACGTTGGATCTACTAGGGAGGAAGGGGGGAAAAGTTTGAACCATCCAATCACCATATTGGAGAGCTCCAGTTCATCTAACAGTATCTGGGCCACGCCCATGAAGGATTTGTGATCCATGCGGCCATAATCTCCCCAGACGATGATCTGTTGGCAAAATAAAAAAGGAGAGTAATGTCAGTATAACCACAGGAACAAAGGCGTGTAAACTGAAACACCTTCAGTTAATGTGCTGACATCAAACATCAAGTTCAATATAATTTTCTGTTACTATCAAAATCTAAAGGTACATTAGGGGAAAACTCTACTGGGATGGGTGTCAAGATCTTAAACAGTCCAGGGAGATCAGAATGTATATGTGATTGGGGTTTGCAAGGCTATAGTCTACTTTAAAGGAAACATTAGTGTTGAGAGTTTTATAGTACTGGCCACTGCCTGGGAAGGTTTCCAAAGAATCTCAGCTGTGAGGAACAAAAAAGAATGTGGTAAGAAAAAAATGCTGGGTATAAGGTTTGACAACGTGAAAACACTTTCTTCTGTATGAGCTAAATAATTCAGTAAATACCTGTAAAACTTTTCCTTGGGGACTCTCTTCAAAGGATAATAGCTGCTGGTAAAGAGGTTCCAGCGTTTTTCTTGCCACTTTTGTTTTCTTTTTGGCTATGCAGACTCCGTTATCTAGTAGGTACACCTTTACATATGGTGCTTGGGAAAGAAACATTAAATGATGAGTTGTGGCCCAGCTCACAGGTCATATCCACAATACCTTAATCGTAGACTGCAAGAGTCAGCCATCAGTCACTGGCCTTTCCACATTGTGTCAAAATCATTAGATAAACAACTGATAACTCTCAGCCATGCAGGGAGTTTAGACGATGGTGACTATTTTACCATCAACTGTTTATTTAGCTTTGTACACAGTACTAAACAAAGTATAACGCTTCCGGTCTCCAGCAAAACTTGAGAGAGGTTCTACTAAAGCTGTCATTTATTAATACTTAAATCTAATTAAACATGTTTACATATAAAGAAACTCTATTGTTTGATATACTCTTCCCTACAAATCATCTGTTTACCACTCAAAAGGGCTTGTTTATTGGTGGTGGTGTGGGCTTGATGCAATATGTTCTAATGATCTGGGGAGAGACACTGAATTATGGCTTGAAATTTATCTGACAGATACTTTATAATAGCATTTTTATGCTTGTATGAATTATATTCTTTATAGCAGCATGGGTTGACTAGCTCCAAGACCTTTAGAAATACAATTGCCTTAATCACCACTGCAAGGTTGTACAATAGGTAATATATATTATAATTTAGAATTTCTGCAAGGATAGAGAAGTTAAGAGATTCAAAATTAGAATTCAGTCAGTGGAGGTGCTGAGGCAAGAAACCAAGTTTCCAAATCCTTAATAATTAATTGTTCTATATGTTAGGTCCGATGTTCTAGACGCCTCTGCACAATGCACCTGGCATCTGTGACAATTTCCATGGTTCTAAACATTTTAGATTATAATGACATTTCAGTCTAAAATATGTGACATCATGATAAAAACGTGTAATAGTTCCCCTCTCTCTTTTATACCATAGCAGCCTTTCTTGAAATCTCGAGAAAGATACTAATTGACTCATTAGGATCCTTGATTACCTAGACAAAAATTTCAGCATCTAATCACAACCATTCTTCATTCAAATTGAAAAGTGTGAATTACAAACAATAGTAGAAGAATCTTCTGTTTTTACCTGGCAGTGTCTTGGAACCTGGTTTTACAACAAGGCCTCGGGCCCGAATGATTTCCACCTCCAACTGTCCCTTTTTGTCCATCATTCCTACTTGAATGTCACCTAATGGCATGTGAGGATGAAACAAATAGGCCTTAATATACAAATGCAGTGAGAAAAATGATTGCATCAAAGATCTTGGTTTAACAGCATTTTATCGTGTCCCATATGCTTTCCTAAAGCCAAATAGATTTAAGATTTCATCAGCGATATTTTACTTTCAAAAGCATATACATTAAAATAGAAAAAATGGAAAATTTTTGATTGTTAAAAATCTAAGCTACTCATTCTTGCTGATAATATTATGAAAGATCCTATGAAATTCAGAAATGTGAATATTAATCTCAAGGAAACACAATGAAACCAAGTGAGAAATTCTTACCCATTGCCGGTGTAGCCAGAGTCTGGCGCCCAACTAGCTGGGCAGGGCCAAGGCCATCCAGGAAATCGCTGAATTGGCTATCAGAGGCCAAGCGGACACCAGGAAAAATTAGGCTAAAAACAAAATGACACATAGGATTAAACCCTCAATCCCTGTTTACTATCAGGTAACTCAAGTTTCTAGCCTTCTCCCTGGGCAGGAAGAGCAATTGTTACCACTGCTGTTAAGTGGATTCCAAAACCACAGCCCATCTCCATGGTTGTCCCTCCTTATTCTCCAGCAGCACATGTCTGCTAACAGAAGATCTTGTCCACATTGGATTGGGAATGCTGTCTGTCTGTCCTTTTTTCCCTGGTCTGGTGGGTGGAGCTGTGATTTCTCTCAAGAGCACTCAGTACCTACCCAGTACTTACTCCATGATAGGCACTATCATATTCAATCCTCTCAGCTGAGCTAGGAGATAGAATGTATTATTTAACTGGATTTCTAGATGAAGAAACTGTTCTGAGTCATTCCCAGCAACACATAAACATGCTGTTATTTCTTCCATTTAAAAAAAAAAAATCACTTTCTTAACTCATTTCCCTTTCCACCTACCTCCCTATTTCTCTCCTTAAAACTCCTTGGAAGAGTTGTCGCTATGAGCTGTCTTCATCTTTCCTCTCGTCCTCCCCTGAAACTCTGATCAATTTTCTTACATGTTCTCTTCCTTGCTTTATTATCCTCCATTCTACCAAAATTTCTGATTGCGAATACCTAATGGTCACAGTGGTGGACCCAGCTGTTGACACCCCTTACTCATCTAATCTAATACATCAGTACCATTTAACCCCCGTCTTGAGGCAGTTTCCCCCACTTTGTTTCCTGGGCCCCTTAATCTGGTTATCTTCACTTGCTGCTCTACCTCAGTCTCCTTTGCTAGTTCTGCCACGAACATTGGGAATTTAATCCTTTGACCTCTTATCCTGTCCACAGGTCTGGATTCCCCCAGAAATCTCACCCAGTCATGGCTTTAAATGCCATCAATGTTGACAATGCCTAGATGGACATTTCCAGTTTGGATCTCTCCTTGGGCCACGGCTGGTATTCTAACTGCTTCCTCACATATTTGTTTGGATGTAAGTAATTCAGTGCAAATGAAACCATGTCGGTAGAGCATGGATCTACTGTGACTGCTGTCTTAATGACAAGAGGAGATAGATAGATACCCAGTCTGCACGCACAGAGGAAAGCCCACATGAGCACACGGAGGCCACCCAACACGTAGATCTTGGACTTCAACTTCCTGAACTGTGAGAAAATCGATTTCTGTTTAGACCAATCTGTTTGGTAGCAACCCTACCAAACAAACACACTCTTTTTCTGTCATCACTCACACCAAATTCATCAATACATCTTATTGGCTGTACTTTCAAAATACAGTCAGAATCTGACGTTGTTAACACTACCCTTCTGGACTATGTTATCATCTTTTATCTTCTGTATTACATCGCAACACCCTTCTGAGTGAATGATCTCCCCATTGCCACCTTTGCTTTCCTCCCTGTATAATCAGAGTAATCTGTTAAAATTGATGTCCGATCCTGTCAGTCCCCTTCTCAGTATTTTATCATAATTTCTCATTCCTCTCACAGTAAAAGTAAAGCCCTTACAACAATATGTAAAGACCACACAAGCTGTCCACCTGGGCCCCCAGATCTTAATTCTTCTAATTTTTTTTTTATAGAGGCATGCTTTTTATTTATTTGTTTGTTTATTTATTTATACAAGCACTGGGTACAGTCAGAAGCGGAAGCGCGGGAGGGTGAGAGAATTCACCAGAGCCAGAGCGGGGAGCAGAGCAGGCAGAAGGACCGAAGTACACTGCTGAGGGGAGCAGCGGGCGGCAGGAGAGGTCTGCGCGCCATGCAGGACCCTCCCCCAGTGGCTGGGGAGCAGCCGGGATCGAACCAGCACTGCAGAGGCTGCGGGCAGCTTCGCAACCCAGCGCTCAACCGCTGCGCCACCGGGGAGGCCCAGATCTTAATTCTTAATGTTACAACTCTTGGCTTACTCTACTTCCCACTGCTAATATCCGGCAAGCTCCTGACTCCAGGAGTCAGTGTTGCTTCAATCTGCAATGTTTTTCTCTTAAATATCCATGTGCTTCGTAAATTCCTTTACTCAATGTGCCCCCTTCCTGGCTACTCTACGTAAAATCTTATCCCTGCCCTCCACCATTTCTCTTCCTTGCTTTATTTTTCTCTGTAGCAATAGTACTACCTAGTCTATTATATACTTCACTAATCTTTCACTTATATATATTTTAATAATTTTTCTTATTAATTGTCTGTCATTTTTTAGGCCATAAATTCATCGAGGGTAGTGATTTTTTTTTTTATAGAGGCATGTTTATTTATTTATTTGTTTGTTCGTTTGTTTGTTTTGTTTATACATGCACTGGGTACAGTCAGAAGCGTGGGAGGGTGAGAGAATTCACCAGAGCCAGAGCAGGGAGCAGAGCAGGCAGAAGGACCGAAGTACACTGCTGAGGGGAGCAGCGGGCGGCAGGAGAGGTCTGCACGCCATGTGGGACCCTCCTCCGGTGGCCGGGGAGCAGCCGGGGATCGAACCAGCGCTGCAGAGGCTGCAGGCAGCTTCGCAACCCAGCGCTCAACCGCTGCGCCACCGGGGAGGCCCGAGGGTAGTGATTTTTTTTCTGTTTTATTCATTGATATGTATTTGGCACCTAGAGCTATGCCTATATTGCAAGAACTCAATAAATATCTTTTAAGCTCAATGAATTAAAATGAAGCTTAGAAAAATTAAATAACTTGCTGGAGGTTCTAAACTACATATATAAATAAGAACTTAAGCCTCTATAATCATAAAGCCCAGGGTCTTAACCCCTAATTACTTTTAGCTCCCTGGATGACTTATATCTCCAAATAACAGGACAGTGCCTGAACACTAGAAGGTACAATAATATTGGTCAAATGAATTTATGGGTATTTGGCCTATTTTTCCAATAAGAGTACAAACATCTAGGGCCTCCCTGGTGGTGCAAGGGGTTGAGCGCAGTGCTGTGGAGCTGTCTGCAGCCTCTGCAGCGCAAGTTCGATCCCCGGCCAGGGTGCTACCCACATGATGCAGCAGACCTCTCCTGACTTGCCTGCTGCTCCCCTTAGCAGTACAGTTCGGTCTATCTGCCTGTTCTGTTCCCCGTTCTGTCTCTGGTGGAACTTCTCACCTCCCACACCTCTGGCCTGTACCCCAGTTCTTATAATCATAAATAATAAAGAAATCTTTTTAAAAAAAGAGTATGAACATCTAAAGTGCAGAAGATACAGTTTACACATTTGTATACCCTAACAGTATGGAACACAGCACTTTACGACAGTAAGTACTCAGTGCACAGGTACAGACACACCTAAGAGACATTGCAATAAAGCAAAATTGCAATAAAGTCATACAATTTTTTTTTTTGTTTCCCAGTTCATACAAACCACACTATACCATAGTCCATTAGATGTGCAATAGCATTAGGTCTAAAAACAATGTACCTATACTTTGGGCCTCCCTGGTGGTGCAAGCGGTTAACACACAACCTTTAAAGCTGTCTGCAGGCACTGCAGCATGAGTTCGATCCCTGGCCAGAGAGATACCCACATGGCGCAGCAGACCTCTCCTGGTTCGCCTGCTGCTCCCCTCAGCAGTGTATTTCAGTCACTCTGCCTGTTTTGTTCCCCACTCTGTCTCTGGTGAATTTTCTCACCTGCTTCACCTCTGGCCTATACCCCAGCTCTTGTATGCATAAATAAATGTAACTTTAAAAAAAAATTACCTATACCTTAATGAAAAAATACTTTATTGTTAAAAAGGGCTAACCATCATCTGAGTTCTTAGAAATGGCATGATAGACTTGCTTGACCATGGCTGCCAAACCTTCAATCTGTTAAAAACCCAATACCTGGGAAGTGCAACACAGCAAAGCACAATAACATGAAGTATGCCTGCATTTTTCACTGGATTGTTTGTCTTCCTTCACTAACATCAAATATATTACTTGCCCTAACTTTAATTTCCAAATATTCAGTTAACCCAAACATTGTATTTTAACAAGTGTTCCATATCACCTTTCTTATAAATGCTAAAAAAGACTATACACATCTCCTATATTGATATAATTGTGCTAGCAAATGACACCCAGGGCATATAATCAATGCTCTACCAGCAGCACCTGCAGTCATGCATCTGTGAACTGGCTACACATACAGTGGGTAGCATCAGACACTTTCATGGTGCTGGCAGAGTGAGGCCAGGAAGCCAGTCTCCTCTGTCAATGTCCCTTACATACCCACGTATTGACCTGTACTTGCTAATTACTGTTAATCTGTTGCTGGTGATAGAGCCATGCAAATGCCTGAAAAATATCTTAGATACAGCTGATTCAAGGGAAGCCTGCGTGCTAACTCTATAAAAGAAAGGCCCACCAACTCCCTTAGTGCCATTTCTTTTGGGCCATTAAGTTTGTCTGAAGTGTTTGTTACCGTGTAGAACTAAGTATGCATCAATATTCTACATTTTTGAGTAATAACTGTTAGAGCAAAGATTTTAAAAGCTAGAATTGTTCATGCAGTGAGGTAGAAGTGGTTATTATTTTTGTGCTTTTAGGTATTATTTGCAGGTAGGGCAAGGGATTTCCATGTACCATGACAGTGACATTTTAGCATCTTGTCATTAGAGTGAAACACTATCTTCAAACCTATTTCCCTTGAAATAAAAAGCCAGATATGTAACTTTGCTCCATGGCAGGTGAGCAAATGTGTTCTTCACAGCAAATTAGTCAGTGAAAATTAAAATGGTGCTGCAGAGCGTGAGTTAGCTTTTGTGAAATCACTGAGATTGAGATGTAAGATGGTCCCTGGCAGGACCCGGGGGACACACACCAGCCCCCCAACTCACTTTCCCTCTGAGCTGTAGCTGTTCATGCTGCCATCGGTAGATTCGCGGCTTGCCTGTCGAGTCATCCAGTTTCTCATTTCCACAGCCAGGCCTGTTTCCGTACTTCTCTGGACAGTGCTCCGCAGCTTTTTACCTCCTGCTTCTGCAGAGACAGAAAACAAAAGAGGTGATAGATTTGTCATCACCATCTGGCAACAAAAAATATCAGCCAACGCTCTGATGTCCTCAGGTGAAAAGAACTGCATAAATACAAAGTGTGCTTATGAAGGAGATAGAGAGAAAAGGCATTTCAAACAATGTCTATTGAGTGGGATGTAAAGTTTCTAAAAAATCTTGAAGAAACACAAAATACCATTGTGCTATTTCCATTTAAAACAGTGCTCAAATTGGTAACAAAGGAACAAAAAGGTTCAACCTAAGGAAAATAAGTTTTGTTTTCACTGTAATATTTAAATACAAGATTAATTTATGCCTGCCTGTTTCCTTTCTTTTTGTCCCAGTGAAAGAACTAGGCCGTATTTCCAAAGAACAGGTGTGGTGTGAGTAATCCTCAAATTCTGATCTTAACTTTCATATGAAAATCTGGCTTTGAAGGGTGATAGATAGTAGAAGGCAAAGAGAGTTACACATGGAGACAGTCCTGTCTGATAATAAATGCTCCAGCGGTCACTCTCAGAGAGATTGTCAAAGGGATGCAAAACTCAGCATGATACAATGTCATAAAAGCTTTGTGATTTAGGGTCATGAATGATGATGTCCCCAAGGATTTTCAACAGTGTGGATATGAGGTTTACTTAAAGAAATCAACTAGAAGATCTAAAAGGAACTAAGTAAAGTACCACCGATGTGACAGAGATAAAAAGTTTAGCTAGGAAGTAGCTTCACTGAGGGAATGCCACTTGAGCTGGGTTTGAAAAATGGCCGATTCGGAGTCAAGAAGAGGCAAGAAGAGTGGTGGTGGTGTTGTTTTTCAAGAAAAAGACCATGGACAATGGCTGAAGATAGCAGTGACCATGTGCAGTAGAGGGAGGGATGGTTCCAATAACCAAAAAAAGAGCTGGGGGTGGGTCAGACAAGAAATTGAGCCCAAATTACAACAGGCCTTGCATGTTGGAATGTGGAAATGAGAGGCTTCTAAGCCTGAAGCAACAGGGTGATATCCAAATTGATTTACTTCTTGTCAGGTCTAAATATTTATCCACATTGGCTATGCATACCATTAATTTTGGGAGACACAGTCATGCATTAAGCTCTCTTAGTGTTGGGTATTAATTACCCTTAGATCAATAAACACTTTCTGATATCACCAGTGACTTGTTGAAATACCTTTCACCAAGTCTCATATAATATTTGCTCAGTTTTGAAACACTGTTTTAAATTTCATCTGTTCTTCACTTTCAACTATAACGTACATCAAAATACTTTAAAAAATAAAATGTAAGTTATGACTGAACTACAACTCAGATTCATAATCTAAGGCTGATTATTTTATATCATTGACATGAACATGTACTGATATAAACTGTAAAACCATATAATGCACCCCCCATTGATGGAGAAAAACTTTCTTAGAGAGGAATGTTTGCAAACAGATATAAAAGGAATAACAATATTTTAAAATGACCAATTTGCAACCGCCAATGGAGTAAACGATTCAAGTAAGCCAAATCAGTTGACATGAACAAACACCATTAGATGAGAGGTCAGGAAAGCATGATCATATGAGACAAATTACCATCCACCAGTAAGGGGTACTGGAAAGGAAAAGTGGTTAAAGGAAAACATGATTTTAATGCTAGCAGACCTGTTTATCATCATCTTAAGAGATCAAACTTAGTAGCACTAATAGAACATTTGTACAGATATAAAATGCACCAAATCAATTATCAAGTTGTTCCAGATAAAAATATACAACCTTTTTCTAATCACATCTTTGGAACTAATCTTTAGTTTTCAATAATTTTTAACAATATAAATAAAAAAATTAAGACAAACTCAGAATATGGGATATTGTAGAAAATCAGCCTAATCTCATAATAAAGTAAATCATGGAAACTAACAAGGTGTGGGAATCGTTACAGGTTAAAAAAAATATCACAGAGGTGTGTAATGACTAAATGCTACTGGGGCATTCTGTCTTCTCATTTGGGGAAAAAACAAAAACAAAATAAGAAACCTTAAGATCAAGTACTTTAAAAGCAATTTTAGCACAAGCAGGGAAAATGTGAATATGGATTGGATGTTTGATGGAATTAGGAAATTGTTAATTTTCTTATAAATAATGGCATGTATTACACAAAATTTTATCATTAGGAGCTATAGGATCAAGTATTTAGAACTGAAATATTATACTGTCTGCAACTTACTTTCAAATGGTATAGCAAAAAGAAACATACAACCCAAAAATAAACAAACAAACTTATATATACATACAACAAAGGTGGTAGAATTTTTGTTTGTTTTAAGGATGGGAATGATGAAGAATAGACCTGGGTATTTGTAAATTTATTATTTATGATTTTATTTGAGAGTGATTCTTAAAAAACCACATGAAAACTTCGCATCACTTTGTCCAGGTGTGAATGGGCTGAGTGGAATGTCTGGGTTGGCGGGAGGGAGCCAGGGCTGAGACCTGGCCTTTCCAACTAGCCCTCCTGGCCATTTTCTGTGAAGAATACCACCTTTGTGAATAACTACCATGATGTGAGACATACAACTTCAGTGAAATTTCAAAATGTGGATGAGGATATGGGAATATAAGACCTTTGAAAGAAATGAGATTCCTAAAGATTTCAGGACAAAGACTTTGCAATGCCTAAGATCTACAATTTTTTATAATTCTTAGACTCTGAAAGATATAGTGGTTACTAGAGAGGATGAAGAAGAGAAGGGAGGCAGGCTGGGAAGGGAAGGTGCTAGAGCATTGGCACTGGAGCTTTGTGGAGGGTGAGTGAAGCATGTGCACATATGGAGATATGAAGTTATACTCCCAAAATATATAATTATGTAAATTGTTGGCAAATTAATAAAATGTGATGGAAAAAAGACCTACAGCTTTTTATTTAATGTCTGACTTCATCACAGCATAAGTGACTTGAAAATCTGCTATTATAGGGTAGTAAGAATTAGTCAACATTTCTCAAAGAATAATAGTACAATGAGCATGTGATGCTTTAATTAGATTGCTTTTTACATATGTCCTTTTCAGACAACTTTAATAATCTCCAGTTACAAATCCAGACAATTCCAGGGCCCTAGCCGGTTACATAATTCTTAGTCATATAAGTAAGTGAAAATCCAGAGTTTGTACATAGTACCTTGACTCCAAATTTCCTGTTATTCACTGAGGTGGTGTCATAATATCACCAAAAGCTAGCTTGTGCAGCTGTCTGTGGAGATGATACTAAGCTAATGCTGTAACTACATATAGGAGGCCCTGTTAGAAGCAGTTGGTGGGATGGAAAGAGCAGAGCACAGAGAAGAGATGGGGCCCTGGTGTTTAAGTGTTTCTTTGCAAATCCCCACTGTACTGCATACAAAGTTGGGTGACACTGAGCAAGTTACTTACCCTCACTGTGATTTCCTTTTCTCAAACGTGGAAAGGCAATGATAGTAATAGTAATAATGCCCACCTCTCTGGATTTTTGTGAGGATGAAGACAAATAATATATTAAAATTTTAAATAAAACATTTAAAATAAATATTAGTATCTGATATAAAGAAACTCTTCAATTGATGGTATTGCCATCATCATTACTACTAGAAAGGGAATCAGGATATGTATATTCTAGACCAGTGCCCTTCTCTAAATCATATCTTCTCTGAGTCTCTGACTTTTCCTTTATGAAAAGGGTGAGGATAGGAGAAGGATGACAACTAATGTCACATTTCTTTTAGTTCTAAAGTCTATGAATTTGTGTCATTACTGTATGACTAAAACCATGATTAACAGCATATATCAAGAAAATAATACTATTCATTGTCATCTGATAAAATCAAAGCATCCCAGGTAATAAATATGCTAAGCATTTATAATAGCTCTTTAAAACATACTTTTTAAAATATGCTTTAATCTGATGTGTTTATGGACTTCTCTAAAAAAGTAAATACTTTTCAGGATCACAAATCCTTTGTGTCACATCCATAATAAACTTAACCTAAATATAATTCACTATGGCGATTTTCATGTAATGTTCCAAATGTCTTTTCAGGTTACTCAACCTGAATAACTAAATCTATAGAACAATGACTAGCTGTGTAAGGTAACTGTGGTAAGCAGAATTTTAAGGTCCCTCATGATTATGTTACTTTACATGGCAAAAGGGATTTTGCAGATGTCATTAAGGTTGCTAATCATTTGCCCTACAGGGAGGGAGATTATCTGAGTGGGCTTAAGGTACCCACATGCTTCCTCTAGCTGATTCCAGAAGAGGCAAATGGGGAAATCTGAAACACAAGGATTCAGTCTGCATTTGCTGGCTTAAAGATAGAGGGAATCATGTGGAAAAGATCTGAAAGCAATATACATCTGCCAAGGGAGAAGTATGGCAGCAAGAAAATGGGAACCTTGGGGGCTGCAACTGCAAGGAAAAGGATTCTTCCAACAATCTGCATGACCCTGAAAGCATATTCCCCCCAGTGTCTCCAAACATAAACTCAGTCCAGCCAACATCTTGATCTCAGCTATGTGATACCCCAAGCAAAACACTCAGTTATGCCACACCAGATGCGTCATCTTCAGAACTGTGGACTAACAAATGGGTGTTGTTTGAAGCTGCTAAATCTATGGTTATTGTTAAGCAGCAATAAGTTAATTTTTTAGATACAAATTTTAATGGGGAAATCTGTAAAAAAAAATACCTATTGTGACCACAGAAGTGGATCAACTGAAATTGTTTGTAAGAACTTATTAGCCACGTTTAAAAAGTGTACATATTTTAAAAAAGTATGTGCGTGTGTAAAAACATATAGATACTACATATATAAACATACATATATATGATGTGTGTGCATGTGTACTGCAATGTGTAAAATTACTCACATAGCAAACTATATAAAGTAGGCTCAGATTATGTTGTTGTAAAGCCCTTAAAGCACACACTCTGGTGTCAGGTATTTTTAAGCCAAAGTGCATTGGTAGAA